ATATATAGATTTTTTTCCTCTTCTTTTTACTTCTGGTTGAGCTCCGATCATCCAGTCATCAAAGCCAGGGCAAGTAGGTATTATCTGCAAGTGTGGGTGTTCTTATGCATATGCCATCTCTTCTTATCGGCTGGACGCTTCACTCAACACTCTAGTCCTCTGTGGCTATGTCACTGACTCTGGGCCCAAGAGTCCCCAGGTCTTGTCATACTGCTGGCTAACCAGGTCTTCACCTGGGTTCACAGAAGTCTATTGAACGTTGTAGGGCTTAGCTCACCGCTTCATTGCTGTTTTTCCCTCACTTCCCCTTATCGGTGTTGAGTGTGGAGCTCACTGGGTTTTGATCAATGCATAACATTGTGCATGTTGTTGTTGTTGTCAAATGCATAGAGTTGTTCCTGGCTCTATAGGGCTTTTGAGGAGTAGCTGGTTGCTCCAGTAAAGAATGACAGCCTCAGAGACCTTTGGGAGCAGCTCTGCTCTGTATTCCAGGGGCCTAATGAGTGGGAATCCACTCGAGGGCAGTGGGTGTGGTTTGGGTAGGGAGTGTTTTCAGGAGCATCAGATGAGTGAAATTTAGGGCAATGGGCTGGTAAGGATTTGTGTCAACTGGACTGGACCAGGCTGCTGAGCGGCTTGGCAGTTAGACGTCATCACCCCCTATGTTGAAATGTAATATAAGGCAGACACTTCCATGATGAGTTCTGCTATGAGCAGCCAATCATTTGAAAGGAAGTTCCTCAGGGGTGTGGCCTGCAACATCCCTCATCTTACAAGACATCAAAGGAGAGTGATGGGAGCAGAGAGAGGGGGACCCTCTACCATTGAGGAAGAAGAGCTGGGAGTGGGGTGGGGTTCCGGCACCATGAAGCTCCTAGATCCATGGGCAGATTGATGCCAAGACACAGGGAGACCTCAAAGGAATGTTGGGCTCACAGATGCTAAAATTAGACAAGGGCATTTCTCTACAGCACGAGCTCTGAATTCAGACTTCCCACCAAACTACTTCTGGATATTTAGTCACTGAAAACCTTATGAATAGCAGAGAAGCACTGTTAGATACAGTGCCAGAAAATGAGCCTCTCAGGTTGGAAAACACTCAAAATGCGACTGGGGAAGAGCTGCCTCCTCAAACAGAGCTGACCATGATGATGTGAATGGAGTAAAGCCCGTGAGAGAAAAGCCCGTGGGACATTCACTTGCTGATGGGGCACAACTCAAAACGAAGAGAAACAGCTGTAAACATCCATTAATAATCGGAACATGGAATGTACGAAGTATGAATCTAGGAAAACTAAAAATTGTTAAAAATGAAATGGAACGCAGAAACATAGATATCTTAGGCATTAGCTGAAATGGACTGGTATTGGCCATTTTAAATCTGACAACCACATGGTTTACTATGCCGGGAATG